AGGTGATCCTTTTCCTTGCCAAGGCCAGCCTGATCTACATCTCAACCGAAATGGTCTTCTAGTTATTCCATCTCCCATTTGCATTATCTCATGCTGCCCCACACCCCATCCCTAGAAAACACTGCCTACTCTCCTCAGCCTCTCAAAATCCCTTACTTAGCTAGGAAATCAAGGATGATATGGCTGCCATCCCTATGCAAATCCTTTTCTCATCTTCCCAGGGGTTAGCTCTCTTTCTTCAAGTTATCTTTATTTGCTTAAATCTGTACATGGTTTATAGACTGTCATCTCCTTATAGGAAAAGATCATTTTGTTATTGTATTCCTAGCTCTTAGTAAAGTACCTTCCACATAGCATATGCTTAATAAATGTTTGTTTTGAACTGAAAGCAAAATAGACAATATGAAGTGCTGAGCAAGTGTTTTTTTTTTTTGGTCTTATCTATCTAGGTTATAAAAGATGAAAGATATTACTTCAGAACTGAAATAATGGACTACATCTTTGTACATTCTATTCCTCCATTCCATTCCTAGCTGTGTCATTTTTCAATTTTACAAAACCTCTTTGTAGCAAAGAATAGTTTCTTCCTTTTGAATGGCTCAACATCTTGGTGTAGTAGGAAGGTGTCTGAACTTAAATCACAGCTCTGTCTCTAGCTGTGTGCTATTAGGGAAGTACTTAGCTTCTAAACTTGGATTTCTTAATCTGAAAAATGGAACTCATTCTACTTATACTACTTTCCTCTGTGGGGTTGTTGTGAGGATTAGATATGAGAATGTCTATAAAGTGCTCATGAAACCATTTCCTGACTCTGGGACTCAAGCAACTCCCATTTTCCTCAGAACTTCCAACTAGGTGCAGTACTTTCGTTAGTCTTTCCATGGCTAGGCTAGCTCAACTCTTTGCTCTGCTCTGTGTGCTCACTACTCATGCAGCTAGAAGAGATTACTCCTCCATGTTTTTGGCAGGACTCCCCTTCCAAGAAATGGAAAAAGGAAAAAGGATAAGAGAGTCAGCTTCTTAGCTAGGGAACTTTCTGTGTAATTAGTAATTGTGCAAGCATTGGCACCTTTGCCTATTAGACTACAATGTACTATTATGTTCTAGGTAGAATAATAGATAATAGAACACTAGACCAGGAATCAGGAAGACCTGAGCTCAGATCTGGCTTCAGCCACACAGTAGCTACATGACTGGGCAAGTGGCTTAAATTCTGTATCATTTTCTTCAGTTGTAAAATAGAGATAATGATAGCAGAGTTATTTTGAAGATTAAATAGGATATTTGTAAAACATTTGTAAAATGCTTAGTACAGCGCCAGGTACATAAAAGGCACTTAATAAATGCTTGTTTCCATTTTTCCTCCTTTTCTGCTTTCCTCCCTCCTTCCTTCTTCCTTGTCAAACCCTTTTGTTTATATGGAAGATATCTACTTTATATGGCATGCAAATTCCTTGTAGGTATCTCTGTGTTGTGCTATCTCCCTCCCCTCATCTTGTATTCATTATATGTGCTTTAACTGTTATTTGTATTAGAATTGTCTATGTACATGTCTTGTCTCTCCCTAGTAGATTCCACTCAAGGTCAGGGACCCTGTATTATTTAATTTTATGTCTTCCATGGCATCTAGAACACTGTATTGCACATAGTAGGTATGTAAACATTTCTTCATATGCATGAATGATGATATAGAACATTATTGATAATAATGTTGATAATAATAAGAACATTATTCAGCTTCAGAAGCTTCAGATGAAAGAGAGCTGAATCTCAGCTTTTAAATCAGTAAGTTCAAAAGTTCAAAAGAGGGTACTGAGGCCATGAATAAAAAAGGGAAAAGTGTAATCCCTTTGAACCTTCAAAGAACTTTTGGATCTGGGATTTTCAGTTATTTTATTTTATTTATTTATTTTATTTATTTTTGGTGACGGATCATCAGTTATTTGGGAGTTCAGGTAAAGCTTTTTATTCGGCATGGATATTGCTGGGTGAAGTTAACAAATATTGAGGAAGTCTGTGGAGAGGGAAATCACTTCACTGCCCACTTCTATGCTTTTGTGACAATAGATGGTGTGGACCATCCGTTATCTTGTACTCTGGGAAGGGCATAAAGAAAAAGGCAAGAAGAAAACACTTCGCTTTTATTTCTGTGCCTCTAGTTCTCTCCCTCTTAGCACCTGGGCTGCCAGTGACCCTTGTCTCAACTCTGTCTGCCATCGAGTGTATGGACTGAGGAAGACTTGAACACTAAATCACCACCTTGTAATAGACTTTGCCATCTGGCCAGGAACCAGTTATGGTGGCAACCACCTTATACATGGGGAGCTAGTACTATGGATCCCAAAGCCCAAGTATCATTCCTTTGAACCTATCCAGTAGAAATATAAGATGCCACCTTACTCATACATTCTCTTCTCACATGCATAATTTTATGAATGTGATCTGTGTAATCTTTGGTTTTAGTTCTAATAAGGGAATCTCATTTATCTGGCAACCTCAATCACCTTTACCCAGCTGGGGATCTTAAAGTATGGAGGGAAAAAATACACGTATATATGTGTGTGTACACACACACACACACACACACACACACACACACACACACACACATAAAGTATGCTTTACTCATAGCTCAGCTCTCCTCAGGACTCGTCAGATCTTTTACAAATTGTTAATTTATATGTAATTTAAACAAACTTAGCTCTTGGCTTCTTAGTTTATAACTCAATAATTATCATGGTGTCAGCTCCTAAGAAATAGTTTTTCTATCCTCAATCTTAGCTAGCACTTGTTGCTGCAGTCAGCATACCTATCTTTAGCAATCCTCACCCCCTCAAATTATTTGTTGCTTCTCACAGGTTCATAGACTGAACTGGAAGAGAACTTTCAGATCATCTATTCCAATCTCCGTTATTTCACAGATGTGGAAACTGAGGCTTACACGTTAAGTGAATTCCCAAAGATAACATAGACAATAATATCCTATCAAGATTCAAACATAGATCCTTTGACTGTAAATCCAGTGTTCTTTCCATTGTCACACTGCAGAAAGCATGGTAAAATTTAACATAACATCCTAAACCTTCTGAAAGTTCCCTGTTAAAACAGAAGTTATGGCATCTATCTGCTACTTCCCTTCTGACCTCAACCATATATAAACATTTTTCTGGCAGGGGATGGGGGGGTGGAGGTGGGGTGGGGTTACTGCTGAAACTCCTTCTTTTTTCCTATGATGGGGCAGGTCATTTCAGCTGGGAACATAGTAAGACCAATATGTTTTGACATTGCAAAAATTGGCCACCCAGAAAATAAAATCAATACTGTTACATTGAGGGGGAAATAGTCTATTTGCTTGGGGCATTTGAAGTGGAAATGGAGTGAAAAGTGAACAAAAGATCTCTAAATCTGTCTGTCCCTTCTTGAAGTAAAAAAACCAAAAATTGGCTTTTCCATTGTAACTAGGTCAATGAAGCAATTTTGAGGAAGGCCCCTTCTGGGGGCACAAAAAACAGCTCTGTTTTGCAGGACCTTTCATTATCTGCTCTAATGAGATTTTTAGGTGGAGATCCAAGCTTGAGATCAATCTGACAACAATCTCCACATGGAACTGACATGTTTTTGACATGACAAATTTTTCTGGGTAACTGGGCCATGGATTTTCATTTAAACACACTAAATATTTGTGAATAAATATTTTTATTTGACATTGATATTTGACGCTATCATTCATCAGTAAATCACATAGTGTAAAAAATGTTCATTGAAAATCATCTTCATTGATATTGAGGGCAGAATTGCATGGTATTCACACGGCTCTCAAGACTCCAGTATGCAGGCCCACTGTTCTTGCCACTGTCCTTTCTGAACTGAAAGAGGCCAAGCGCTAGCACCTGTATCAGAAAGCTAATGGTCCCATTTCTTAGAACAATTAAAGGGCTATGTATTCCCACCACAAAATAAGTTGAAGTTGTTGTTTGTGTATCAAGGCTATGGAAGATGAGGAAATAAGTATAGTCTCCTTACAGAAGAAACTTGAGCAGCTTTCTAATACATCAGGCTTGTGATCTGAGATGGGTGTCCAAGACATGATCACAGCCTGTATTTGCTCGAATATTCCTTAAGAGACAGTTGAACTTAGTTCCTTAGAAATTGGACAGAGCTTTTCATTTATGAGCCAAAATTGTTCCTTCGAGGGTGACAAGAAGTTCCCTCTCCCATGCCCTCCCCTCCCTACCACACTGCCTTTTTTGTTCCTATTCATTTGTCCTACGCAGAGTTTAGGTACTGACTGTGATTTCAATATTTTGAACAGAAACTCTAATAGGACAATGTATATCCACAGGTTAAAAAGCTGGATTTGGGCAAGGAATGATCAAAGTTAGTAGGATGGTCCCCTAATGTAAAATTATTTCTTTGGTAACATTTCCAAATACTCTGTCTTCTTGCCAATGACTTGGAGAATTAATTCTGATTTAATTTTCAGTTGTTTCTCAGTTGTGGCTGACTCTGACCTCATCTGGAGGTTTCTTAGCAAAGATACTGGAATGGTTTGACATTTCCTTTTCCAGTTCTTTTTACAGATGGGTAAATGGAGGCAAACAGGGTGAAGTAACTTGCCTGGGGTCACCTAAGTAGTAAATGTCTGAGGCCAGATTTGGACTCGGGAAGGTAAGTCTTCCTGACTCTAGGCCTGACTCTATGTGCATCTAGCTGGCCATTCTGATTTAATACATTAGGTCATTGAATTTTGGCCATTTTCACAGATAGTAATAAGGATGATGATGATAGTAATAAGCACTTATCAGTGATTTGAGTAGAATAAAATAATAGGTTTTTGCAAGAAGCATAGAGTAAATTACAAAGTTTTGGTCTTAAGACCTTGCAACACAGTCCGACATGGTAAGTGGACAGCAGGCAACAGTAATGTCCTTTGGTGGAGGCTTGGGGGTATGACCTGAAAATTTCCTGAGGAACTTACTAGCAGCTTCAAAGGGAAGACTATTATTGGGAGGATAAGGAGAAGGGTTTGATGAATTCTACTGTGAATAATCAGATTTGAATTTTAGAAAGGACTGATCCATATTCATGTTTTAAATAAATAAACTGATTTTGATAACATTAATTAGCCATCAATTTTTCCCTTCATTTAAAAAAAATTAGAATCTCTCCTTTAAAATGTTATATCCTAAATTGCATGAAAACAACTATTAAAAAAAAACAAACCAAAATAACAAACTAGCCCCCCTTCCACTTCATGACTTATATAACTATTCTAATCCAGATGTATTCCTCCTGTTTTTCAGTCATAAACAGATTAGGTAAGGCAGGGGTGGATTTTGAAGTCATTCTGTGGGTTTATCTTTGATGCCCATGGTCCAGATGAGTGGATGATCTGTTTCCACAGTCACAACTCCAGAGCCATCATAAGTGTTTGAAGTGCTGACCAGGGTTCCGAACATGAGCACACTATTGGCTGCAAGGAAAGGATAAAAAGGAAAAGAGTTAAGCATAACAGCTAATGTTTGTATATCTTTTTTACATACATCTCATTTAATCATCCTTACCATTTGGTTGTTCAGTTGCTTCCTGACCCCATCACTTTCCTACACTATCTCTTATCCACCTATCCTTTTCACTCACATTGCCTAAGTATCAGTGAGGTTTTGAAGTTGTGAACCTGAGATGGAGGAAAGATGGCACTATCAAAAGAAATAGGGCAGTTAACAAAGGGGAAGGTTTAGGAGAAGGATGCCAAGTTCCATCTTAGACATGTTAAGTTTGATTAGCCTACATGTCAACTAGATGTAAATGTCGAATAGAAAATTCAGGATGACTGGAACTCAGGGCAGATTCTAGGATTAGATATATACATCTGGTGATCAGCCCATGGGAGTTTTACCATGGGAGAGCAGGAGAAGTTAAGGTCCCTTTAAAGGATATTTTTATCGCAAGCTTCACAAAGCCATAAAGTAGCCTCACAAATAATTTTTAAAATTCAAATCTATTAAAATCCTTTTGCATCTTTCCCTATATTTACTTACCAGTGTTATGTAGGTCATATCTTGATGTGTATACACACCAAAATGCCTTAAAAGCACAGAATAACCCAGCCCCGTACTTTTTTTTTCTTTTAAATGAGTATTTTTAGCCCTTTTGCAGGAGAAAATTAGCTAGAGCCTGGATCGAGGATTCAAATGACTCAAATGTTAACAGTGCTGCAGTATTCACTGGATTAGCTATTGTGAAGTGGCCCTCTGGTGGTGCAGTGGATAGAGGCTGGGCATGTAGTCAGAAAGACTCATCTTCCTGAGTTCAAATCTAACTTCAGACAATTATTAGCTGGGTAAGTCACTTAACAATGTTTGCCTAAATTCACTGAAGAAGGAAATGGCAAACCACTCCAGTATCTTTTCCAAGAAAACCCGATGGACAATACGGTCCATGGTGTCACAAAGAGTCATACTGTGAATGGACGAGCTGCAAAGTGGAATAATAAACAGAAAAGAAACATATACTTAGTTTTTTTTATAACCAAATAATAGGTGAGTAATTATATACTAGGCCTGCTCCGGGTGCTAACAAGAACTTAAACAGACTTTAAGATGTTATTTGTTAATTCAGAAGCAGATAAGCATTCTGTGATCTTCCTTTCACACTGCTGACTTAGATTATTAGGTCTGGATTACTTTCTTCTCAAACCTGTGACAATTCTTACCAAAGATTTTAAGCGTAAAATTTTTTGTTTAAATCAGTTTGGAGTTTTATAGTTTGATACAGATGATTAGCTCAGTCAATAAATGTTAAGGGGGTAGCCAGGTAGCACACTGGATAGAGTCAAGAGGACCCGAGTTCAAATCCGGCCTTAGACACATAACAATCACTAGCTGTGTGACTCTGGGAAAGTCACTGCCTAGCTCCCCCCCCCAAAAAAAAAAGGTAAGAAGGAGACAAAGGTTGGAGGGTCCGTTAGCTTTGCTCTAATCCACTGCAATAGGTAGTATAGTATCCCCCAAAGCTAATGCAATGTTAGGCTGCATAAACAAGGGGTAAAAAGACATGGGGGAAGGGGGTGTGGGGAGAGAAGGGTGTGTGTATGTGGTGACAGTCCTTTTTCACTACTGCCCTTCTCAGATTGCATCTGGATTATAACTTTCAGTCATGGGTACCACATTTAGGAGAGACACAAATAGCAAGGCATTCGGGATAGTGAAGGGCCTGGGGAATAATGTCATATGAAGAATGGGAGAAGAAAAGACATGGGAGGAAGGGTAGCATATGGTGGTTATCTTCAAACATTTAAAGGGCTGTCATGTGAAAAAGGGATTAGATGTGTTCTCCTAGACTCCAAGGGTCAAAACCAAGTAATGAATGCCACTTACGTAGCAATAGAGAGGAAGACCTTGCTACATGGTGAAGTGGCTGAGAGCGCTTGACTCAGAGTCAGGAAGAACTGAAATCAAATTTACTCTCAGATTAAAAGCTTTGTGACTCTGGGCAAGTCACACGATAACCTCTCAGCCTCATTTAGCTCATTTGTAAAATGGGGTTCCTAACAATGTCTACCTCAAACTTCCTAACAATAAAAACGATCCAAAGATGAAAGGGGCTGCCTGCAAAGGTACTGGGACAAACCTCAATTTTTTGTTATTGTTTAGTTGTTTCCAACTCTTTGCGACCCCATTTGGGGCTTTCTTGGCAAAGATACTGGAGGGTTTGCCATTTCCTTCTCCAGTTCACTTTACAGCTGAGAAAACTGAGGTAAACAGGGTTAAATGCCTTGCCCGGGGTCAAACAGCTAGTAAGTGTCTGAGGCCAGATCTCAACGCAGAAAAAGGAGTCTTCCTGACCCCAGGCCTGGCACTCTATCCATGAGAGGTGATCAAGCAAAAATCTGTACAGCAAATTCTTGGCTAGATGTCCTACCCTTCCAAGTCATATGTTCTGTGAGTATGATGTTAAAGCAGTTTGCTAAAAGTCAGAAAACTAGTTCGTAGCAGGATAACCCCTGTCATCAAAATCTCTGGGTGAAGGGACAATAATATCTGATGTTTGAGATTATATATAAGAAAAGTACTTTGCAAACATATTGAGACATGTAGAAATAGCACATTAAGGTATAAAAAGCACTTTGCAAACATAATCTCATCTGACTGTCATAATACACTTGTGAGGAAAATACAATAGATATTCTTATCTCCCTTTTACAGAAAGGGAAACTGAGGTTCACAAGGCTTAAATTAACCTGCTCATAGTCACCAAAAGCTAATCTTGAATCCAAGTATCCCCTACGTTCAATATCCAGTCATCTTTCCATTATAGACACTTAAGTTCTTTATATTTCCTTCTTCTGTTCCTCAATTATTATTTCCACACTCTTGTGAGAGTTAAAGGTCCTTCCATCTCAGGCCACCTCTTCTTTTTCAATTTCAGTGCCTCTCCTAGGAAGGGAGGAAAGCTAACACTTGCAAGTCCTCTTGAAGCTATACTTTTATATGTTCCTAGGCATATATTATAAATAATATAAATCATACTAAAAATTGTCAACATTCTTCACCCCCTCCAATTTTCTACCATAACTCTGAGATTTCAGTTAACTGATTTGAAAAGTTAAAGTAAAAGAACCTCTTTGACTTCTAAATTTCAATCTTTGAACTAGTTGGTGAAATCGAAGTGTCACCTTTTTATCTTTTAAACATGTAACTAGTATTAATTCTCTTATTGGCTAGTTAAATGCCTGTGAACCTGGGGTACTGGTGAGAGCGGGTACTGATGTGATAAAACTCAGATCTGCTACATACTATCTGCATGACCTAAGGCAAGTCATTCTCTGCCTCAGTTTCCTTATCTGTTTTCTTCCAGCTCTAAATCCTAAACCTTGATACTTTGACTTTTAACTAGTTGACAACTTCTTTCTTCTATCTGGGCCATGGCAACAGCATGTTACTTTGATGACAGCTCTTTACTAAAGACTAGCCCAATGAGTTTTGGGTTCCATATTTCATTTAGAAAGAATAAACTGAAGAATACCTAAAGGGATTTCACTAGGATGGTGTGGAGATTCAAAACTATGCCTTTGAAAGATTGCTAGAAGGAAGCAGAAAGGATGGTTAGCCTGGAGAAGAGAAAACCTAGGAGAAACAGGATCACAAACTTCAAATGTTTGATGGCTAGTCTCACGAAAGGCTAAAACTTACTATAGGCCCCAGAGAATAGAACTAGGATCACTGAATATAATTTATGGGAAGGCAAATTTCAGCCACAAATAAAGAAAAGCTTCATGGCAATATGAATTGCCAAGGAAAGAAAGAAAGAAAAAGAAAAAAGGAAACTCGAATTACCCACCCATCCTTGGAGGTCTCTAATCACAGTCAGACCATTTGTCATTGATTGTAGAGGATTTTCATGCTTCGGGCAAGGTTTAAACTAGATGACTTTTGTGGCCCCTAGCACCTTTGAGATGCTTATTAGTTTCACAACTTTGTATCACTCAGCTTGGAAGGCCATAGTCAGCTATTCACAACCACAAGAAACCTCCCTACATTTAAATGTTTTAATAATTAATTGGTTGGTTCTCATTTTCCAGTTGTAGTTGTTTGGTTTATGGCTACAGATTTATAAACTCTTGTAACTATGTCTTGCTATAATGTCAAAGAAGAAAATTAATCATCTCCTATATGGCGTGAAAGATTATTACCCCTTAATTAGAATACTGAATTGCACAAAGTAGAAGCTCAATAAATGTGTACTGAATAAATTCTTAGGTGGTACAATAGACACTTTGTTGGACCCTTGGGGTCAGGAAGACACTACAGTGATCCTGTCCACTTTGCAACTTTTCCCATTGAGGTTTCACTATAACTTGGGTCGGCAAAAGAAATTAAATGGAATTTTTTGGGGAGTTTTGTGGAAGCTTTAAGTGAAATATAAAGGTCAGCAGACAATATAGAAAAAGTTTAGAAATTCAGAAATACACAAAATATATGTATTGTATAATATCAACACATTTTATCTTTTAATATCATAATAATTCAGATTTCTCTGGTATGAAGGGAGTGCCAAAAAAGCCTTACGTGGATCTTTTGGACTGAGGAGGGGACAGTACCCCTAAATCCCCACAATGTGGAAAGGATAGCTGTAGTAGTTTAACACAGGGCAAGTCATTTAATCTCCGTAGATCTCAGTTTCCTCATCTGCAAATCAAAGTTGATCGTACTAATTAATTGGCCTCTCAGATTCCTACAAGCTCTAAATCTGTGGTTCTGTTATAAAAGAGTAGCATAGTGTAATAGAAAGAACAATGAACTCAGAATGTGAGGCCATAGGTTCTGTTCCTGGCTTTCCTTCCTAGTACCTGGTTGAAATTGAGGAAGTAACAACCTTACTGAAACTCAATTTTCTTATTTTTAAAATGAGAGGGTTAGAACAAATGAGCTCTAATGTCTTTTCCAACTTTTAAATCTTACAGTGTTACAA